TGTGTGTGTGTGTGTGTGTGTGTGTGTGTGTGTGTGTGTGTGTGTGTGTGTGTGAGAGAGATTGTGTTGTATCCAGAGCTCCACCCAAGCCGGCATGCCAGCCTCCGATCATACGCGAGAAAAGACGGGAGCCATCAGATGAATTAAAATCTGTTGCTCCTCCTCCTCCTCCTCCTCCTCCTCCTCGACCCCCCCTCTCCCCTCCATGCCGGCTTACGCATCCTCACCTCGGCCAATCCGGCAGCCGTGAGAGGAGGAAGGAGAGAGAGGAGGAGAAGGAGGGGCAGGACCAGCAGCCTCCGGGGCTGGCTGACCATCGTTCTTGTCACAGCTGGGAGGGGGGGAAGAGGGGGAGGAGGGGGAGGAGGGGGAGAGAGGGTGGAGAGGGAGGAGGTAATCCAATGAGACACAGAGAGGAGAGGCAGTGCGAGGGCAACGCCTCACAGCACCGGGAATCTCTCTCTCTCTCTCTTTCCCCCCTCCTCTGTTTCTGAAGCGTAAAAACCAAAAGACTCTCATCTCCCATTCATTCTCCTCTGTATGTGGCTGAGGGCTGCTCTCACATTTTTAAGCCTCTCCTTTCCCCCCTCAGTTCAAAATTCTCCTTCACTTCCTCCTGATTTTTCTCTACCTGCTGAAGGACGGATTGATGAGCACAAACCAGGATTATTTTTCGATGTCTTTGGGAGGCAGCAGCATCTGTTCCTGGAGTCATCTTTGTCCTTGTGCTCACAGCTGCTGAGTGCACAGTGGCTGCTAGTGGGGAAATAGGTTAGTGTGCCTGTTCGGTGGTGGCCAGCAGAGGTGATTGAATGTGCTGTACTCGGAGGAGGCGAAGAAGAGGGGGATGCCTTCCTGGCGGTAATGCTCTGTAGCCCTGCGACCACTTGGGGAGAAGGTGATGCTGGCGCCGAACTCTGACCTTTAGCAAAAGTGTCAGCGACGAAATTCAGGACAGACAAAGAAAGAAAAGCGACAAATACAGACTTTTTTTTGTTACATTTTGCATTTTTGTTGTCGCGACACAGGGCTGACTTGTGCGTCTGCTGTGTGTGGACACCATGGACATCAACCTTCAGTCACACCGGTTTTACTTCCCCCAGATCTACTGTGCTGAACCGGGGTCACAGCCACAGCTCACTGAGTTCAAAGTCAGGTAGGCTTCCAAGGGAAAGGTGTTTACGATGGACCCATCCATAGATGAGAGGCAGAGCACTTATTCCTGATTGGTGGAGACACCCAGGTCTGACGTCTCCATTTGCTTTTGTCAGTATCGGCTGCCTTTAACATCCACCCAAAATGTAGCTGGAGCCTGTATTGTCCACCAGAGCTGCTGCTTCTGCTGCACATGAAGCATTTCTGTGTATGTGGAGTGCTGCTGTGAGCGGCTGGTTGCCCTTGCAGGGGGATGGGGCTGCATGCTAATGTGTTAGCTAGCTGTGCAGAAAAAGTGTTCGGCTTCTGGGAGAATCAGAGGGCATTGATGGCCTTCGGAGGAGCTTGCCAAGTTTGGATAGAGGGGATGACAGTGCCGCGGTTGTGTTGTATTTGCCGTCCTGTGGCCGCTCTCGTTAGCTGCCTCTGTGGCTCTTTTGTTCTCTTTTGTTTACGCGTCTGTCTTTTCTTTTGCTACTATTCTCTCCCATCCAATCAACGCTGAAAGTGCTCAGGGTTTGGCTTGTTGCATCCATAGCCGACGCCTGCCGTCATGGTGGCAGAGCGCTCAAAGACGCATGCTCAGACATGCAACAGCTTCCCTGCTCTTTGTCTCGTGGAGATGTAATTGTGCCGGATGGAGCTGTTGCATCCAGTCTGATGCTGTGTGACACCCACTTCAGAAATGAAGCACACAATCACAATTGTCTTTTCTTCTTTTTTTAGTTATCTGTTCACCATCCCTCTTTGCATGCACGTGTTGAGATGTCCTTGTAAGCTTGTTTGCGATACGTTTGGCGATTCCTCCTCTCACAGCGCTGATTAGTGCAGCTTTAAAGGTACTCAGCCAGAGTTTTGCACCGCTAAGCAGCTTTTAGTTTGGTCGGTGCTCCAGGCCGGAGCAGCTTTATGGGGCTACAGCGTGTCGCTGTCACGGCCTGGCAGAGCTCCCCGGTGGCTCCGCAGGAGTCTGAAGGCGATCGCAGCTGGACGGCATCGCCAGGAGAAAGAGAGGGAAGGAAAGTGAGGCCGTATGCCCAGTTTTCTAACGGTCTTTTTAGTTATCCTCATCACAATTTTTATGTCACACCTGCTGTTTAAAACCCAGGTTAGTATTTCATTTTTTGGCAAGACAGGTTATTCAGAAGTGTTTGAAGCCTAATCAACAATTTATTAAGTTCGATCCACTGTGGTCTCACCTCAGTGACCTTCTGAGGTCCACCTTTACTGAAAACACAGATAAATAAACAGACTGCTGTATCTATTTCTGAGCAGATTAATCACTCGTTTTCCTGGCTGCGAAGTGAATTCCGTGCACTTTAAACAGGAAATGGACACAACTACACAGCAGCAGCATCTCTTACTATATTATTAGCAAGGTGAGCTCATTAGAGCTGAGTGAGATGGAAGAAGATGGAGAGAGATTGGAGATGAAAAATGAGAAATTGAGAGAGACAGAGATGGAAAGAGAGGGAGAGAGAGAGAGGGCGATAAGAGGGAGGGAAAATAAGAGACCAGGAGGGAGAGGGGGGATGGTGAGAATAGCAAAGCTAAGCAAAAGGACGAGAGAGTGGATTGTAAATGTGAGAGCGAAACAGTCAGACGGATGGAGGTGGAATTAGAGGAGAAAGGAGGAGCCGGTGTGATTGTGAAGAAAAAAGAAACGGACAAACCGTTTGATGATGGTTTCTGGTGGGGTCTTGGTGTGGAACACACCTTTGACAAACCTCTGCTAGGCATGCTGGGATATCAGCTGCCGCCTGGGCTCCATGGTGACCGGAGTATAGGCTCAGTGTAGCCAGAAAACCATGACAACAGTGCTTGCCAATCCATAGGAGCATGCATGTACGGTACATGTATGCACAGAAATGCACACACACACACACATACAGAGAGAGAGCGAGAGAGAGAGATTGTGTGCTCCAAGCAAGAACCCAACCTTTTTGGTAATGTGTCTGTTTTTTTTCCTTATTCTGAAGATCCAGTAAAGGGATATTTAATAAAAATGGTTTCCATTTTTGGTTGACATAAACCAGGCGGCTACTTCTGGATCTGAAAAGTGAAGCCAACACTGAATTCTCTCTAGTGTCCAGCAGGGGGCGACTCCTCTGGTTGTATCGAAGTCTATGAGAAAATGACTCTACTTATCACTTGATTTATTACCTCAGTAAACATTGTAAACATGAGTTTATGGTCTCAATCTCTAGTTTCAAGTCTTCTTCAATACAGCATGATGTTCATTTAGTAAAATATGGTCCATTTAGAGTCAAATAAGCTTTAGGACGGGCTACCTTGTGATTGACAGGTCGCTCACGGGAGTTGTCCATGCATGTTTTTCGTCTTCCTACTTTAGCCCTTCAACAGTGTGTTTTGCAGTTCATGAAAGTTAATTGTAACATTTTGGTTGCCTTAAAACTGTCTTATTCAGGGTTCAGTTGTACCACCCTCTTGTGTCATTTCTGGTTCTAAAAAGCCAAGATAGCGATGGCTAAAATGACGAACTTGGGGCTTCAAACCTTTTAGTCCACAAACTACTGGGTGACGTCAAGGTGACGATGTCTACTTGTGATATGCAGTCTGTTACTAAAACTAATTCCCACTCTAATTTGAAATGAGGAATACCAAAAGAGAAATCTTTTGTTGTCAGCAAATTTCAACCCCTGCTAACATTAACAAAGTATTGCTATCAATGCTGCTCTGCTGAAACTAGTTCATCATTAGTGTTCCCTTCAGGTGTGACATCCACCACACAGTGATGTGTCTTCTTGTGCTGGGACTAGTTGATTAAACTTGCTTATTTAATGAATTACCATTAATCATATCCAAAAAGCAGGCATTACACCTTGAGGCTGAAGCTAAAGTTCTGTTCTCAGCTGACACTGTCCTCAAGAGAAAAACACCATTGGTCGTATGCTGAAATATTTAAAAGGACCGTTATGTAACTGACATAGGCCGTGGTGACAGACGTCTGTACATACTTGACACTTTAGTGCAACCTGACTGATCGGATAGTGATCGGTATATTTTGTTTTCAAAGGAGTGACTGTAAAACTTGTTTTATTGAAGAACAGCCGCTAACAAAGCTCCGCTAATCCGCTGATAAAAACATATACATTTTCGACAATAAAAGTCTGTTAATTTGTTATTTGAAAGCACATGTTGGGTAACACGGCTCAGACAGCAGGTCTATGACTTTTCTGTTTCAGAAGCAAAGGCAAAAGTAGCGTGATAGCTTGACAGTCAGTGTTGATTTTGTCAGTTGTGGCTATTTCTCCTCTTCATTTCCCTCACGTTATCTTCACCTTGAAAGCATTTCACCTAAATCCAAGCGCTGCTGTACAGTATTGCTTGAGGATTATGTCTTGGGATGATGGAGGGTCTCTCTGTTTTTTTTAGGACTCCCCAGAGGAGACCAAATGTCTGTATTATTCCCTCAGTGCACTGTGGCCTGACGGATTAGAGACGGAGTCCACCGCACATACACGTCAAACATAAGAAAGCCCTGCTGGAAATTTGTGAAACATTCTGGGTCACTGAATCCGCTGACTGATGGTTTGTGGCACAAATAGGAACCACATGTCTCCGCCACGGCACTCTGTGTGTGTATTCAAAAGAGGACGAGTCGGGTAATTACAGCTATGTGAGTGTGAGATATTAGGTTCTACTGTCTGCAATGGAGAGCACTTAACCTGATGGCCTTCAGCAAACGCTCAACTGTAAAATGGGTTACATGTAAACATGTCGGCGCTGTGTGTGTGTGTGTGTGTGTGTGTGTGTGAGGCTTCGCAGTGAGTAGCAGAAGTTAAACGGCATCATGGAGCACAGCCTCAGGGCATCGCCACAGCTTCCTCCTCTCCTTCCCCTCGCTCTCACCTTCCTTCCTTCTTCTTTTCTTCCAGGGAAAAGGACGTGTTTGTTTTAGACAGAGTGTTAATGCTCCAGCTCACCTACAGCCTTCTCCCTGCTGGGAATCTTTTTCTTTTTTTCCCCCTCTGCCAAATGGAGACGCATGCATTTTTAAAGCCACCCCCGCTCTCTGCTGTGCTCCCTATCTTCTGTATCTTCTCTGCTTCCTTGATTTATCTTCCTGCCTCTGTCTTTCTCTTCCCCCTTCCTCTTCTTTTTCTTCATTTTCCGTATTTTCCCCTTCCCGTCTTTCTCGTTTTCCCTCTCAGCATGAGGTCTAAGCCCCTCTGCCCTTTGAATTTGTCGGCTCACATCTTGGTTGATTGGGAGAATGCTTGACCTCCCCGTATGCTTGCACACACTCAGTCAACAAAGTTTGATTCCTCTTATGTTTACAGTCGCACATTGCTTCAGCTGGAGGTAGACGAGGACGTCCTGAGGCGCTAGACTCTATTAAACATTCCAGCAAATGCTCATTAAGCTGGGATCAAGATTCCCACGAACAGCAAACTAGACAGGAATGTCTGGCTCTTTGCTGGACTTGAAGACTTTAATGCCACACATGAAACAGAAACGAAATGTCACATAAAGGAACAGTTTGGCATTTTTGGAAATACAGTTATTCGTTTTTTTTGCCAAGAGTAAGACGAGAAGATTGATACCACACTCGTATGGGTCTGTTAAATATGGAATCCAGTTCCATATTTAACGTCCACGCCAGGAGATAATTAGCGTAGCTTAGCATAAAGGCTGGAGGGCAGGAACAGTTAACCTGGCTCTGCCCAAAGGTGAAAATTAATTAACATGTAATATCATAAGCTTTAGAGTTGCTGTGCTCTTTTTTGCCTTTGCCAGGCTAGCTGTTCCTTGTTTCCAGTCTTTATGCTAAGCTAAGCTAACCGGCTTCTGACTGTGGCTTCATATTTAACAGAAAAATATGCATTATAAGTATAATCAACCATCTCATCTAACTCTCAGGGAAGAATAAACGTTTTTCGCCCCTAAAAATGTGGAATTATTCCTTCAAGGTGATCTTCACGCATCTTATCAAAACTCAGCGGTGTGTCGGGTTGCACCGAGTTCACAGCAGATTAACGTGTTTGTTTAGATCTGCAGTCAACTCATCAGGCATCTATTGACCATGTGTTGTCTGTTATGTCAGAGGATTTGTCCGTCTTTGCAGAGACATAAAGGACCATCCGAAGTCTAAATCCTGCTCTCAGTTATTTCCCAACTCTCTTCTGTCTTGCTGATATAAGACAAGTGGGGTCAGACAGTCCTCTCTTTACTTTCAGTAGTTAGGAAGGAACAAGTCAATTTAAAAACAACAGTTACGAGACTATCCAGAGTGAGCTCGCCAACTCTCTCAGACCTTGTGTACCAGCAATTTTGCTGACGTGACAACACCCAGTAAGAGCTTTTAGATTTTGTACATATGGCTCAAAAAGCCACAGTCAGAAATTAAAACGTCCTCCTTCAATCCACTAACACGACACTTAAACTCAATGTTAATCTTAAAGCTATATCATCTTATCCATCACACTTAATAATACATGCGTTTATTAGCCCAACTTTAAAGTTGCGAGTACCTGATATCACATTAAAACCTCCTGATTCTACCCTCCCACTGCTGTGCTCTCTCAGCATCAGCGCTCGGGGTTGAGGAAACTCTTAAATGCTTTACGCGATCATGCGGAGCAGCAGTAAAAGAAACCCTCATCCTTGCACTCTCTTCGCAATCTTTCAGCTGGAATTAAACTATAAATTCGGACCTGTTTTATGGCACCAGGACGCAGCGTTTTTTCCCTCCTGGCCGTCCCAGCTGACCTCCGACTGTCAGAGACGTTTAAGGCTTTATTAGCGGTTTGAAAAGAGAACAACAAAAAAAAACCCAAAGCAAGGCAGCACGTACAGTAGACACAGTTATGAATATGCTTTACGGTCTGCGGAGTCTGTAGTGCATGCGTCCGAGGCGACGGGACAGCGGTTCGAGCTCAAACAATATTCCATAACGTTACACTCATGTGGATGCACACGGCCGGACAACCACACAGCCACGTGAGACACGTATGTGATGATGAGAGGATGAGACAGGACATTGTAAAGGGCTCTGTAATTAGAGAGCAGAGCGTCGGAAGGCTTATGTTGCTGGTTTTTTTTTAAATATTTTTATTCATATCTCACTGCTCATTCATCTTTTCT